TTTTTTTTTTTTTACCACCCCATCCCCTACTAGTCCCCCTCACACCCCTACCCCTACCAGCAGTGGCGTACTTATGATTTTTTCTAAGTGGTGTCACCATTTAAGGGACAAGAATGATTCAAAAAGAAAATCAATGAAGCTTTTGTTTTAGGCCTCCAAAAATTTGAGGGCCCCATTAATAGTGAATTTTATGAAATAATATTTTTCTTAAAATTATAAAATTTTGATTAAATTAAAAAAATTACCTTTAAATTAGATAATATTTCAAAATTTTAAATTAAACCACTCACATATTCATATTACTATTTAATAAAATTTAACACTAACATTATTCAACCGATTGTATTGCAAATAAATACGATTAACATCTTTTAATAAATTAAAATCAATCGGCAATGAACTTAAATCAATTCCTTTTTTGACTAATTGGCTTGTTGTTCCAAGTCAGTTGAAGCTTGATTTGTTAAGATTGACATTGAGCGTTTATGATTTTTTTTAGAATAATACATTTGCATTAAATTTAGACTAATATGATGTAATCTGCACAATTAGTAATTGAGGATCAAATAATAGACAATTGCGGACAATTGTAATCAATTTAATGAATTCTAAATTGTTTCATTGTAACAAGCCAATACAAAAAAATAAAATTATTATTATGAACAAACAAAAATAAAAATTCAAGCACATAATAATTTAAAATAGAATAGCAAAAGATACTTACATGATGCGGAGAGATTTGAGATGCCAAATAACAATGATTGATGAACAAGATCAGAAAGAAAATTGAAGAAACTCACAAGTCACAAATATACAAATATAAGGATTTAAGGAGTCAATACTATTTTTATTTACTATAATTCTAATGGATAAAAGACTCAGATTTTTAGTTTTATTTTAATTCTAAACAAAAAAAAAAAGTAAGTTAGATTTGAATGAATTAAAGTGGTCTATAAGTTTTTAAATGAATGAGACCTACTGTTTTGAATTTAAAATAAAAATTTAAGAGAAAAAAGGGGTAAAATAAAGATAAAACGTAGCAAAAAAGCAATCCACTGGGAATCGAACCCAGAACGTGATACGTCAAATGTGGTGCCTCTGCCACTTGAGCTAATAGTATTCTGATATAAGGAGTGTCCTTTTTAGTTGTTTTATCCTTTAAGTTTTTTTTTAAATTTTTTTATAAAGGTATATTCCGTAAAAACATTGAACAAAGCCGTGTCCCGTGACACACCTTACCTATGCCTAAATCCGCCCCTGCCTACCAGCCCCCCCACACCCCCCTAC